TAATTATTTTTAAATAAAAATAGCCTTAATTAAATCGGGGTGTTACATTCAGCACCGGGATTCTCCTATCTTGACATTTCTTCAATATCTGTTGTCTATTGATAACCATGATGCTCTCATTTCATCCTTCCAAAAAGAACAGTAGTACCATAAAAATACTCCCTGAAGATCACCCAATAGACCAGGGTACTTGCTCTGATACCAAATGAAATTTCTGGTACAGGAAACACATCTTCATACTGATATCCCAACAACAGAACAATGTCAAGACAGATGTTACAACATCAATTGACAAACCGAACAGATTTATCAAGATGCAAGTGATACTGAAATTAAATTGAAGAATGATAAATGACACAAAATTACTAACTCGGTTTGGTGCAACATCACCTACTCTAGGGACTACAAAGTCAGGAAAGAAATCCACTATCAGTAGTATCAATTCAAAGCCTAAACAGTCCTAGTTTACAACTTCTCACTTAATCTCTATCCAGTGCAAATTCTACCTAGAAATCACCATCAAGACTTGAGAAATCCCATCTCACTTCCTAATCACCTCAGTGATATCTAACTGTTCCAATCCTAGTGGTTGTATCAAAAACAATTCAACAAGAAGATTGCACTTCCAATACAAAAATACTTAGTTAAGACTCTTAAGTAAGAACAATACTTGATTTTGCTTAAAAGCTTTAACCAAGAATAATACTCAACTCATTACCTAAAGACTTCTGGTGAGAACACTACGCCTACCACAAGTATCAAAAGATACAAGGGTGACTTACACCCACACAAGAGACTCTTAAAACCTAATACTCTAAGCTTCCCCTAATTTACAAATTATGAAAAACTTAATTGAAAGAATTGATACATTAGAAGTTGTAAGCAATGTTATTTTGTAATGTAATTGATTAAAGACCATAAGAGAATGCACCATAACTAACAATTTTGGATTTATTGAATAATGTAAAACCATTAACCGAAATTACAATTCAAAACCAAAAGGTACATGTCTTGATACATTAATTAAATTCCTTGAAAAACTAGGAACATAAAAAAGTCTTTTCTAATTGCAAAATAAAACCACTACTTAACCCCAAATTATAAGAACTAATAGCTTCCACGTGTGAGCTCATCTAGACTTCTGGATGGATATACTGCTCACTTTTCGCTGGCTTCTGTAGATTTTGCATACCCTGCAAAGTATTTGAGACATGGATTGTAGAACTAAAGTCAATTCACGAAGCGTTATGAGCAACATTTGTTAGATTTGATTCATAACATACAAACAAAAATTGAATACCTTTCTTTGTCAAGCCAATTTTTGAACTTAGATCATTCTTTCTTCATGTGTCCTTTCTTTTTGCAAAAGAAACACTTTTACTTTTTTTAATGTCTAGTTTGACAGAGATCTTGCTTTTGTCTTTGGCACGATTTTTCTTCTTCCTTTCGAAAAATGTCAGATTCATTTTCTTGTCCTCTTCCATAGCCAACCTTCCCTCTTATTGAGCACACATGGTCAAAAGTTCATTAATTGATCATTTATCCTAATATGTGTCGTAGAAAATCTTAAATGGCCATATTGTTGAGGTAGAGTGCACAAAATGAAGTGAATCGAAAAGGTTTATGACATATCAACTTTTAAAGTCTTTAACTGAGCCGCAATATCTCTCATGTGCATGATATGATCACATACACTTCCTATCCTAGTAAGCTTTATGGATGAGAATTATATGAAAATGGTATTTGTCAAAGCCTTATCTGAAGTGATAAATTGTTCGTCTATTACTTTCATTAAGAGACATACATTGTCATATTACTCAATAGAACCCCTAGTCCAACAGATACTTTAATCTTTATGAATATAACGCCAAGGCAATAAAATTTGTCCCACTTTTCATAAAGATCAACCTGATCTTAAATACTTTCTTCAGTGATTGCAATTGGTTCAGACTTCTGATGATATAGTCAATATCCATCCATCCTAATTGAATGAGAACTCTCTCCTTCAAGACCTTAAAGTTGTCACCCTTGTGTTCACAAACATCACATTTTACATCAGAGTAACTAACAGTTTGACCAACTACAATTTTTTAGAAATTAAACATGATTTTTAAATATTGATTTGAATGTAATAACTATATCATGTTTTACCGATGTAAAAACACATTTTTATTAAATAAATCTAGAGGCATAAAACTTGCTTGTGGGATAAAGTTTTAATTCCATTTGATTCACACAATCATGATGAAATTATCAAAATACATTTCTTTTCCTAATACTTGTGGGTTAATTAGGAAATATAATTTGATTTTTTATCCTAATTAATATTAAAAAAATACAAAATTTATGTGGGTAGATTTTATAATATATTATACGATTAACTACAACTATTCTTTTGTGTGATTTTAATTTAAAAATATGTAATTATCAATTAACAAGAGATGTCGTGGCTATTCTCTAGTTAAGTAAGATCATATGGGTCACTAAACAATATAATAAAAATTATAATTATAATTATAATGTGTTAACCACTGTCCTACTGAATATGGCTATATTTGAATATATATAAAAGAATTGAGTAAAGAGGGATTGAATGGAGCGAAACAAGTAGGATTTTTGTTAGATTCGAATTAGTTAATATGATACTTCCGACGATACATTAGTGGTCCTCCACGAAACCTTTATTATTCTCTACTTCTATGGCTTAACCTAGTGATTTCTTTTTAGAGATTGTTCGTTGTAATCCTTTTTAGTTTTCAAATCTCCTTTTACATATGTGTTGCTCGTCTTCCATTTCATGCATTTTCACTAATAAGAATTCTTGAAACAATTAAGATTTTTAGAAATTTCTGATTTATTAGAATTTTTTTATAATTTTTAATTGCTATGTGTGTTGTTTAAAGAAGTTTTTTTTGGTAAAAATGATTTATTTAATTTTAAAAAGAGAAAATAAGTGATAAATAGTTTTACACTATCAATCAATCACAACTATGTATTTAATTATATTTTATTTTTATTTTAAATTTTTTTTAATAATATAATAAATTATTAACTTCCTATTAATTGATTGTATAAAGAAAATACACTGACAACGTATAAAAATTATTCTTTTTTTAAAATAGTGATAGTTAAAAATTGTTAATTGAAAATTTTAATTTTAAAGAGATGCGACAATTTATATAATTGGAATTTATATTATTGGAAGAGAGAGTTAACAAAGACGATTTTATTTATAATTTGAATAGATGAAAATTATTTATAAATATATTAATATTTATTTATAGCATATTCATATCTATTTTTTTAAAACAAAAGTAGTGCAATGATGAGTCGTTTTAATTAAGAAATAATTCAATAAAAAGTAACTAATCCAATTATTTGGGTGGGAGGACCTAATGTGCTAACTGAGTTTAAATGAGGGATTTATTTATATTTATTCATTAATATAAACAAATTAGTAAACTTATAAATCAACATTTTAAATAAAAAATACAATTATTTAAAATATAATGGAGTCAACACATGATATAAATTGAATAGTATTGTTACAGAAAAAATATCAAATAAAAATTTGTTTAGTAAGAAAATTGTAAATATAAATTATACCTATAGATAAAATAGATTAATTTAACATAACCATATAAGAATATAAATAGATAAAACAATACAATAAGTTCATTTAGGTGATAGTCTAGTTTATCAGAGTTTGGCTTCGTAATTTTACGAGACAACATTCAAATCTCTTTCACACATAACTATAAAATAATTATCAAATGTGATTTAAATTAATAATGATTTAAAAGATAAGTAAATTATTTCATGTATTATATAAGTTTTCTTGAGAAAAAGATATTAAAAAACATCATTGTGATAATAAATTTCCGTCGTTATTTTTCTCTTACACCAAATTAAAGGTGACAAACAAGCAATGCTCCGTTTAGGTCCAATCTGTAAAAAATTGAAAAAAATTTAAGTGAAGCGGAATAGACATAATTTAAGATGAGGTCTTAAAATCTAAATTTGTTCTGCAAAAAAAAATGAATGTAAGTAGAGAAAATCCGCAGACACTGCGCATTTTAAAACCTAAAAATATAATATAAAAAAATCTAAAAATATAAAATTTTATATTATTGTCTGTGCCCGGAAAAACCCACATAAAACGGGATAGAACATGACGATCACGTTAGAAGATGAGAGTCTAAACGGACATACTCGATGGACCAGGCCCGATGAATCTATATAAAGGAATAAAGTTTATAATACACCTTTTTTTCACACAAAATTTGATGAGATCATGCTTACTAATAAGCAACTGATATTCAAAATACTTTAATATTTCAATATACACAGAAAACGAACGTTTGTTGAAAAAAATCAGTCATTACTATTATTAGCAGCTAAGATAAAAATGGAACATGCATTATTTCATTTTTTAATTATGACATTCTGATCACTTTTTAACAAAGACAAACTTGTCTATGTCTAATATCAACAATATCTGAATGATTATTTTAAATATCCACAATATCTGTGTTTGGTGTCCATAATATGTGTCGCAAATATAGGTAGTAGTCTATAGGAAATCCAATGCTAAATATAGCGTAGATTCATCAGATGTATCAAATTCAAACAACTTTTAAGCTGTAACAAATCCAATTCATTCAATTACGGTGTTTCCTCCCCACCTTCTATTTTAATAGTATGGAAAAGAAAAAGAAGAAAAACACCAACATTAGAATCCATAACAAAATTTAATTTCGTTTTCGCTTTCGCTTTGGAGCTAGTTGGGTTTAGTTTGCTTCAATCTCCATGGGGCGTTAACAACAACACCCCTTAACAACACCCCCACCATCAAAGCGCAAGAGAACAAACCAAGAAACTATCATATTTTTCTCGGCTTACAGGAAAATCCTTATTGTATCTCAAATTATAATAGTTTGTGGTGACAAACTTTTTTTTTCCTGTATGCCCTGAAATATATATATCTTTTCTCTTCAAACATGCATAAGCATGCAAGTTTGTTGTTTTCTCTAGTTGGTATCTGTGTTTTGTTGCATGGCATTGATGGTGCGTGGATAGAAGAACCAGGTTCAATGATATTGGGTTGTGGTTTGGATGAAGGAGGAGCCAAAGATAATGATGGAAGACAATGGAGTCCTGATAATAAGTTTTTGGCACCAGACAATGGTTCAATCATGTCTAAAGCCGCATACCAAGAACCTTCCCTCTCCTCTTTGGTTCCATACATGACAGCTAGAGTTTTCACATCAGAAACAACGTACAAATTTAATATTCAACACGATAAACGTTATTGGATCAGGCTCCATTTTTACCCGTCTGTTTATGGCAGTTTCAACCCTTCTGATTCATATTTCTCTGTGGCTGCTAATGGGATTACCCTCCTCAGCAATTTCAGTGCTTACATCACTTGTGAAGCCCTCTCACAGGCTTACATTGACAGAGAGTATTCCCTTGCTCCTTTGAATTCGGATACTTTGACTCTTACATTTAAACCTTCTGACAAGCAAAAAGGTGCTTTTGCATTCGTCAATGGCATTCAATTGATCCCGATTCCTGAATTGTTTGACTCAGCTGCATTGGTAGGGTATGTTGACCAAAAAGTAGAAGTCAAAAGCATGAGTTTGCAAACCATGTTTAGATTAAACGTTGGGGGGCAGTATGTATCTCCAGCCCAAGATTCTGGCCTTTCTAGGATGTGGTACGACGACACACCTTACCTGTATGGTGCATCCACAGGTGTCACCAACAAAGCTACCAAGGATGTTCGAATCAACTATCAAACCATGCCACAATACATTGCTCCTGAAACTGTCTACTCAACATCAAGATCAATGGGAAATGATAAGGACGCAAACATAGGATACAACCTCACGTGGGTTTTCCAAGTTGATCCAAATTCAATGTACCTCGTGAGGTTGCATTTCTGTGAATATTATTATTCCAAGGTGAACGAGATTGTTTTCAATATACTTATCAACAACCAAACGGCAGAGTCTCAAGCTGATGTTATTGGGTGGACAGGCGGTAAAGGTGTGCCAACTTATAAGGACTATGTGATATATGTCCAAGACGGGGAGGGGGATGAAAAACTTTGGCTTGCACTGCAGCCAGCACTTGAGACAAAGCCAGAGTTCTATGATGCCATACTCAATGGGGTGGAGATATTCAAGCTCAATGACACAGACTTGTCTGGCCCCAACCCTCAGCCTTCAGACATGCTCCTAGAAGATCAAGCAGAGGAAAGAGGTTTCCGAACACACGAAACATATAACAGGAAAGCCGTAATTGGTGGAGCTGCTGGAGGTGCTGCAGGTTTTGCCTTTATGGCTGCAATCTGCATTACTGTCTTCAACAAGAAGAAGAGAGTTCCTGGGTCATCCACAAACACAAGCTGGCTTCCCATATATGGAAACTCACATACAAATGATAGTAAATCAACGTCTGGGAAGAGCATTGCTAGTGCAAACCTCGCTGCCATGGCTCAAGGTCTGTGTCGATATTTTTCCTTACAAGAGATAAAGCAAGCAACCAAAAATTTTGATGAGTCCCAGGTTATTGGGGTTGGTGGATTTGGAAAGGTTTACAAAGGTGTCATTGATAATGGAACGTTAGTGGCAATTAAGAGGTCAAATCCACAATCAGAACAAGGAGTCAATGAGTTCCAGACGGAGATTGAGATGCTTTCTAAGTTGAGACACAAGCATTTGGTGTCCTTAATTGGATTTTGTGAGGAAGATAATGAGATGTGTTTGGTTTATGACTACATGGATCTAGGAACCTTTAGGGAACATTTGTATAAGGGCATCAAGCCTTTAAATGTTCTAACATGGAAGCAAAGATTGGAGATTTGCATTGGAGCTGCAAGAGGACTTCACTACCTTCACACAGGGGCCAAGTACACCATCATTCATAGAGATGTCAAAACAACAAATATTCTCTTGGATAATAACTGGAATGCCAAGGTATCAGATTTTGGATTGTCAAAAACTGGTCCAGAGATGAACGCTGGCCATGTTAGTACTGTGGTGAAAGGTAGTTTTGGCTACTTGGATCCTGAGTACTTCAGGAGGCAACAATTGACTGAAAAATCTGATGTCTACTCATTTGGGGTTGTCCTGTTTGAGGCTCTATGTGCCAGGCCTGTTCTGAATACTAATCTTCCAAAGGAACAAGTTAGTCTTGCAGAATGGGCTTTGCTCTGCAATAAAAAAGGAACAATAGATGATATCATTGACCCCCATCTCAAGGGAACAATAAATCCAGAAAGCTTGAAGAAGTTTGTGGACGCAGCTGAAAAGTGTTTGTCTGATCACGGAACTGATCGTCCCTCCATGAATGATTTGTTGTGGAATCTAGAATTTGCTCTCAACCTGCAAGAAAACAAGGATGGCTCAACTCACTCTTCAGCTCGAGTTGATGAAAGTGAGTTTGAAGAAATTAACTTAGAAGACAACATGGCAAACCATTATAAAAACCTGAGCCTTGGAAGTCAGTGTGACCTTAGCCAAGATTCTGATTCCGGTGACAGTCCGACTGAAATCTTCTCACAACTTGTTAATTCAAAAGGGAGATGAAGAGAGCTTATCTTGATTGTTATTTGGTAACAGGCTTTGAAGGGAAGCAATGGAATTTAAGCAAATAAAACCTACTTATTATTAGCATTGCTCATGTGAAAGTGGAATAATATAAAGTATAAATAATGTACAAGAACTAATAATATATTTATATATAATATATTTATATAGGTTATTCTAACCTAATGGACTAATAGACAGAATAAAATTTACTACTACTAATAGTTACAACCTATGAAGCACTGACACACAGACACGAATACCGGACACAACACCAACAATGGCACGTCGAATCCGGTAATAATTTGAAAAAATGAATAAATGGAACGTAATCACAAGTGTCGGTGTTGGTCTCTGACATGGACACGGACACGCCTTTTTTCAGAGGTGTCGGTGTTGCAGAGGTTACAACAACTTTGAAATATTTAAAGCTTCTATCACTTGTTTTTGTTGACTTTTTAGTCTTTATACTTCGATATTTTTGCTACATCTGTTAAATACGATTTACTCTATCAAGTATAGCGTGTACAAAATCTACATATCTTTCATATATCTACAGTTCTGTTTAGAAGGCACTCCGATTGCTAGTTGCTTGACAAATATTATACAGACCAATATCTTATCTGTGTGTTACTTTGCTTGGAAATGTTCAAGTTTATTTATATTGTACAAAATATGCTGCTTAAAAACTGGGAAGAATTTCACCCTAGAAATGTGAGGAATAAGAAGTTTTGTTTCTGATTTTGAAGACAGCACCTACACTCAATACAGTTTTTAACTAATCAAATTTCAAGTTTCTCAAGCCTGAAAAGAACAAAAACTTTTAATTAGGAATGAGAAAGAGAACGGCTTCCTTTTTAAAATTTCATTCCAATAATACAATGTCACTATCTCTATCTTTTACAGAGGCAAGTAACTTACAACTTTTGTCATTACATGTAGCGGTTGAGGGATATTTGGCCCCTTTCTCCCCAATGGAGAGTTAGAGTTTCAAGTTCAATCTCCCTTTAAGATCAGTGACATTACTTTCAGGGAAATTTCCTTTGCATGGATATGAAATCAATCTTCTGTTACCAGAGGAGTGACCTGCTTTAAGAGCACCATTGCCTACTTGGCAAGTTCAAATACTTGAGCTTCATTCATCTTTTCTTCTGACCTCAAACCTGGGAATTGTCCAATATCATGGCCTTCCAGAGGTTGAAACTCTTGATTCAAACCAACAGCAAACTCTCCAGGATCAGTTCCGGGACTTTGGATATAGTCTGCAATCTGTGTCAAAATACCCAAATACGATTTTGAACGACAAAGGGACGTTGTTAAGGCAATTCACAATGTGGTAAAACTGAGTTACTAATGTTGAAGGTGTCCAATTAGCAAATTAAAAAAAGATGTGGCAAACAAACCATATAAATTGACAGATGAAAGTGACATACATGGTTAGCTAACGCAATTCCACTCAAGGCTGCTGCCTCTATATTAGAACCTAGTAGCCAATCACCGCATATCCCAGCCCTTCCAAAGGGATCAAAGATGCAAGGAACTCCAGGTGTGTTAGTTGGAAGAGCTGCACCCCTGCAAATTTTCGAAACTCTGAGGACATTAAATATTAGCCCATCCAGTTTGTTGACAACATATCTGTCGCACAAAACTATTACACATGAAATGCTACTCCGGAACCACATGTATTAACATTTTGATTGTTAAGCAACTGTGCATTCAAGAAGTCACGTATAATAAGAACATTCTGTAAGCCCAACCTGACCAAAACCATGGCAGAAGGACATTTAAAAGCAACTAATAATAATACTTTGACTCTCACCATAGTTGGAGCTTCGTATAAAAAGGTTTAGGAAGCAACCCTTTTGATAATCCAAGGGCAGCTTCAACGCCCTCTAGCATGCCTTCCTTTACCCTTGTTGATGTAGCAGTAGGGATATTTTCCTGATGATTAAAATGTGGCTCACATTTAAGTTATTAGAAGTGCTAATCATCGCATGCAACACACAATGAATGGAAATGCATAGGTTATCATAGTATATAAGTTAATCGAATCCTACCAATATATTACTCCCCTATACCTTCCAAAAACATCCAAAGTAACCGCAAAACAAATCCAACACTTGGGAAACTAACTCGTATATCATAATATCACATATTGCTTTGAAAATTTAACTACCTACCTGTGGAACCTTGTTCTGTTTTCCGTAAGCAGCAGTGCTCAGAAAGGTCCAACAGTGAGGATCATCATTCTTGGAAGCCAATAGTTTCTTGGTATTATTGGCCATCCATGACACTGAATCAATTCCTCTAACAAAAGCTCCTTCAAAAGGAACTTCTGTGTTCCCGGGAAAAGGAAGAGGGTCCTCAAATGCTGCTAGAAGGGCCCATATTGAACTCAGCTCCAACCTCTGAGACAATGGACAATACAGCAGAAACAAGAAGTGATATGAGCAGAGTATAATAGTAAATAAAGCTGAAAATAGAGTACTAATGTATCAAACCAGATGAACTAGAAAGGGGAATGTCCTAGACTGACCTTCATTTGTTTTGCAATTAATGGCAAACCCGACGTCATAAGCAAGCGGTTTGCACATTTTCCTGTTGGCAAACAGATTAATAGTTACTGAAGAAGCCATAAGTCAGACAACTGTTTACATTTAAATACTTTGGCAATATTATTTTGAAGAGAACAAATGAAGAAATTATCAAGTTACCATTGTGTGCAATAACAATTGCATCAAACTTCCCACAAGGTTTCCCATTTTCACTCAAATGCCACATCCCATTAAATGGCTCCAATTTACTGATCCAGCACGGTCTCTCCACACTCACCAACCGACTCTGCACAAGATCCAGATTCTTATCACAAAATAAAACGGGAACCACCGAAAAACCAAAATCTATCAACAATAACATCACGAAAGTTATAAAAAAAAACTTATTTGTAAGTAAGTGAAAACCATATGAAGAAGCCTTCATAAACTATAAATCAATCAAAATCCCAAAATTCACCGCTATTTGCAGAATTTAACAGAAATTTTTCTTAGTTGTGAGAATTTAACCTCAGACAGTAATGAATCAGCAAGGAACCGCATTCCATTAGTCGCTATATATCTCGGAGTCGAGGGTAAAATCGGAAGAAATTCACCACCATTATGAAGCTCCCCTACATTACCCAACCACTCTCTAACGAAACCCTTATCCACCCAAGCATTAACAATTTCAGCAAAACAAGAATCGTCAACAGTAAAAAACTGAGCAGCATGATCAAAAATCAAAGAATGTTTACGATTAGCATGAATAACCCTAGTTCCCAATCTTCCACCAAGTCCATGAATACCCTAAACATAAACGACATAGTTAGGTTGCGTTTAGAAGAATGAAAGTAAAAAAGAAGACAGATGAGTAAGTAAGTAACTGACAGTGTCGAAGACGGTTGAGCGAACACCGCGTTTGTCTAAGTAGATAGCGCAGAGGAGGCCGGAGATGCCACCGCCGATAATGGCGACGTGAGGTTCGTCGGAGAAAGGGGCGGTGAAAGTGACTTGTTCTTGTTTGAAGGTTTTTCGGAGGATTGATTTTCTGGAAGTACCGTAGGAGGATTTTCGGCGGGGTTTGGAGGGGGGAGGATTTTGCATCGTGACTGTGGGGGGTGTTGAGGGAGATGATGGACGATTAAGGTTAGTGAAGCGTGGTGCAGTGGAGGGTAATAGTTTCCATGTTTTGATCTTCAGAGTTAACATTTTTATGTTAAAGCTTTCTTATGTTCTTATGTTGTTATGGATATATATCTTCCTATCCGTTTTTATCTTTTCCCGGTATATTACAATTACAACATTCTTTCCCTCAAAAACACTAATATCTTCATCTTGTATTATTTGTAGCAATTCAACGTTAAAATAATAATAAATAAAAGAAAAAAAAATAGTAATTATTCTGATTAATTATTAATATTAAATGAAAAATAATAAATTAAAAATATTTATTAGAAGATACATTATTTTCCTCTGTATTTGATTGAGAAGATATGAATAGAAAGACATTCTCTATAATTAGACATTGGCTAATTTGAGTCTAAATAAGATTTTTTAATAAATCTAACAAATCAGAGAATCACATTCAAAAACTAAAATAGAATTTACATGCTACAATTATGGAGTTTAATATTGATGTTTATATTGTTGATGATGACAATCCTATAAATGTAGCATATGTCTAGATACAATTTGGATTATTGATTCGAGAGCCTTCTATCATGTTATTCTTAAGGATAATTTCATCTCATCTTATATTATTTATAAAGGTTTGTTAATTTCATCTAATTTGTTTTAGCAAATTTTAACTAAAAATAGTTAAATGCCTTAAAGTAAAAATATTGTTGGCTAAAATTTTCATAAAGAGAGAAATCTAAACCAAAAGTTAAAAAGGGCCCAAGAGGAGTTGACAACATAAGTATGTCGACCATGAATGATCTCACAAGTAGTCAATCAAGGTTTCGTAAGTGCAGTCGATCAGAGAAGGGTTCATGGTGAATGGATTGGGCCCAAGAGAGGTAAGAAGCCCAAAAGAGTTTAAAGGTCCATAAGCGCCTAAACTGCAAAGGCGAGGCGTTATGGAGGGGAAACATGGATTTGATATCAGGAGTGATGAACGTGGAATCGTGGAGGGAAGTTATGAAGAACACGTGACATGCAAGGAAACGAAACTCACTTAAAAAGTAGTTATTTCTATGTATTATAAATAAAACACTTAGTGCACTTTGTAAAGGGTCAAACTTTCACATTCCTATACGCTAGTCACTCAGAGTAATCAAGCGAACGAGCGAAATGAGTCAGGCAAAGGCAATTTATGTTTGAACCAACCTATTTTCAACCTTTCTTTAATGTTATGTCATTACCTTTTACAATTTAAAACGCTTGTTGTCTTATTTACTTTGTCCTTTATCAAGTCGTTTGACTCTCAGTCGAACAAACCTCTTTGAAAACACTTTAACTACGCACGCAAACTGAAGCACTGTACCGAGATTCTATGGTCGATCTCGCCAATAAACTTGTTTTAAGGAGATCAACGTTGTTTACCAAATCCAGAGGTAAACAAATTGGCACGTCCAGTGGGACAGTGATAACATTTTTGGATTTTGTGTGTAGTTTCACAGAGTTTATTATAGTTAGTGTTGTATGAATTTGAGAAGTGGTAAACTTTTGTCTAAGTCTAAAATGTCACGCTCTGACACAAACACTACACATACGCAGATTTCTACACAAAATGTGGATGTCATACCAGTAAGTACCACAACTCAAAGTGCGACAGTTTTATCTCCGGTAAGATCGACCGTAATTCATGGTTTAGTGACAACAGTTACAATGACAGAACTTAGACATGGGGTATCGTTGTTTGACCCTAATCGACCACACTTTTCAGGGAGTCCAGGGTCATCATTTGTCTCTCACCAATGTGGCATGCCTTATTCCATGATGGTTGGGTTACAGTCGAACCCTGTCACATATACAGAAAACGCAGTGGCCACTGGAAACCAAGACAGTTATGCCCCAAGTGGTCGACTAGGTGGTGTTAGTTATGTCCCACAGTTGACACCATCTTTGAATACTACCTCTATTATGGCTTTAAGGCAATAGATGGATGAAACTAATTTAGAGTTAATAAATGTTTTAACTCAATAAATGGGAGTCGCCTTCAATCCTATAGTTGACCAAATAGGTAGGTTGATCGACTCATTAGGCATTCAACCAACTCAAACTCAAACGCGCCACAGGCTGTTGAGGTTGTTTGAAGAACTAGATGGGGGCAATAATGAGTGTCCTTTTAGACCTCGAAGAGTGGAAGCACCCATTTATGAAGAGGAATAATTCATTGAACAATATGAACCTAGGCCGGTCGTAGTTAGGAGAAACCAAGATGTTGATCAAGTGTTAAGAAATGCCATTGTTGGACGTAATAACATAGGAAATATGGTAGAAGAAGTATTAACACGATGCGGAGTAAAAGTTGGTCTCCGGAGGCCCAATTACTCTCCGCCCTTTCCTTATTACATTCAACAGGCAGAATTACCTAGGGGATGTAAGGTACCTAAGTTTACCAAGTTTGCTGGTGAGGCCAATGAGTCAGCCATTGAACACATTGCTAGGTACGAAACAAAAGTTGGCGATATCGCCAATGATAAGGGCTTAAAATTAAGATATTTTCCTAATTCATTGACAAAGAATGCTTTTACTTGGTTTACAACGTTGACTCTAAACTCCATATGCACTTGGGAACAACTTGAGGGTATATTTCATAAGCAATTTTATGTTGGTTAGCCTAAGATAAGTTTGAAAGAATTATCCTCTATCAAGAGAAGGTCGTCTAAGTCAATGGAAGAGTATTTGAATAGGTTTAGGATCCTAAAGTCTAGATTCTTTAATAGGGTTCCTGAACATGAGTTGGTCGAAATGACCGTTGGGGGTTAGATTATTCTATTAGGAAAAAGTTTTATCCTCGATCTATTACGGATATGTCCCAACTAGCTAATAAGGTTCGATATGTTGAATGTTTAAAAAAAGAGAAAGCTAGGGTGTCAAAGGACCATAGAAAAGGAAAAATTGCCTATGTAGACACAAAGGATTATTCCATAGAGTCTGAGGATGAATACATGGAAAAGGGAGAGGTTAACATGGCCGAATTGAAAGATGGGCCTCAATATGCATGTAAACCTAAGACCGTCTAAGGGAAAGACGGTTGAAGATCCAAAAAATGAAGCACTAATATTAAAACATATACTTTGTATGTGTCAAAATGTGATAAAATATTTGATGTTTTAGTTTCAGATGGTCAGATTATAGTGCCCCCAGGCACTAAGGATCCACCATTAGAGCAAAAACAAAAAAGAGGTTTTTGCAAATATCATAATTTTTTGGATCATAATACTTCTCAGTGTTTTCTTTTCAGAGATTTGATTCAAAAGGCTTTGAAATACGATCGACTCAAATTTGGTGAGATACCAAAGATTGCTATGAAGATCGACTCGGATCCCTTACATGTGGTTTATGCATATTATGTGAATCCATTTGAAATGCTGATGATGGAGGCTACTGAGGGCCTCATAGACGAACAAGTGGACATTATCAACTCACTAGCAACATTTACGCTCAAGGATAATGATGGTCTTGAAGACGAACTGATTGTGGCTACAATAGTCGAGGCTACTGAGGGTATCAAAAGTGGCAATGGCAATATGTCTAAGCCACGTGAAGTGGTGATGGTTGATTTTACTGAAAAACCTGAAGGTGATCAGGACGACAAAGCAAAAATGGACTTTAAGGATAAAGAATTTTTTGAGGAAACAATGGTTGAATTGATGAAGGTTGTGTTTCCTAAATCTGAAGAGAAGTTGGTAGGTTTTCTGAATAGTTGTAAGCTGAGTAATTCTAGGTCCATGTTATGCCCAAACTGTAAGGTGATCTATGATGAAGAAGCTGCAAAGAAGATTGAGGCGCTGAAGAAAAAGCACCATCAAGGAAAAAATGAAAAAGTGGTGTTAGACCATGCTAAGGGGTAAAACAGTGTTCAAATGCCTCAAGAAAAACCCAACTTTCCATATCTGAGAATGTTTGTGCCACTAACTGATGTGCCCGACAATAACTAGGTTCGTCCCTTTTATCCTAGGGGACAAACCAGAACTGAAAGGTGGTGAAAAAAGGGTCAGGTTCGACTCATAAATGGGAGATGATGGAAAAAGGATCTGGTTCAACCCAACTTGCTCAAACTGGGATCACAACTTTAAAGAAATACCATGTTCCTCCCACCTACAAAGGGAAGAATCCTATGACGACGACCCAATGGAGGAGGTTTCATAGGAATAAGAAAGCTGCAAGAGAGGCTGCAACAAAAGTTGTTCCACAACAGAGGAATAAGAAAGTTACAAGAGATGTTGCTGTAAAATCAAGCTTCTCAAATGCACTTTTGTTTTGATGAAGACAAACTATGAGGGACAAAGAAGGCAAAGATTATTTATCAAGCTAAAAGCATCTATGGATAAAGTCTTCAGTTCAAGCACTTAGCAAATTTCAAGGTATAATGATAATACTTACTTTGAACTTAAGACATAGATGCTCAATGGTGAAAAGAAATATTTTATATTGTCCAAACCTTTACTCAAGTTTTTCTAAGCTAAATATCATTTTTCACTTGAGTGCAATCGATTTTCATATTAGTGCAATCGATTGCATGCTTCAATTTTTTCAAATCTTTTGCTATTGTTTCTCAGTGCAATCGATTTGCATGTTTGTGCAATCGATTGTACTCAATCAATTTTTGCTACTGACTTCACATGCAATCGATTTACACTCTTGTGCAAATAGATTGGACAGTCAAAACTTTTGAAATTCTAGCTGTTGAAACCCCGTGCAATCGATTTACACAAAGGATACAATCGATTGCATACTGCACGATTTTGAAAAACAGCAGCTTTGCACATGCCTGTTCATAACACCATTTCATGGAAACCTTTCACTCAATCTTGGAAATTGTTCATGATTCATTTAAAGAACTTTATGTTTTTTCCAAAAAGGTGCTATGAACATATAAATACTCATTTTCAAAATCATTTTCTACACCTCTTCGAATTATACTTTCTGAATTTTCAAAAATCAAACTCAAGCTACTATACATTTTCATACACAAGTTTTCTGCACACTTTCACATATTGTTAACCAGAAAACTTTGAGCATTATATATCTTGAGTCAT